TCTCTCCTTTCTTTCAGGGAGCCTTGGGTGTTCCAGTAAAAGTAATTAATGTTTTTAAAATACACAATACCCAATTAGTGGAAGGACTTCACTTGAGATTTTTGATTGCAATATCTTTAAGTCATTACTGTAACAGAGTAATATGGGAGACATTTTGGAATATTTAAATCATATCAAATTAAATGTTAATGCCACATTTTATTAAAGTTTTTGTTTGCAATAAAATCTCTTGCAGAAATGCTGTCACGTGACTACTTTATTTTATTAGGGTCTTTATCCTGTGTTATAAACACTACTTTTATTCATAGTGAAAGGCACCATACAATCTGAAGAGTCCTTGACATGCACATTGAAACAGGAAGGCATGTTCAGAAGCAATCTCGTTGATTTACTGGCCACTTGAGGTTGAAATAATTAGCCAATTGAAATAAATTTTTAATTTTATCTCATGGAGATATTTTTTCCATGTTAGTGTTTGGTTGCTCTGACAAAAAGGAGAACTTGTTAGAGAGAATGAAAAGGAGCAGATCAAAAATAATTTAGAGGTCCAGAATCCCTGATCCACAATGGCAGATTGAATGAACAAGAGTTATTTAGCATAAACAAAACTAAAAAGGAGAAGAAAAATCATGAGGTTCTTTCCTACTTTTCTAACTTTCTATTCTTTCAAGGATCATAGTGATCATTCAGGCTACCTGAACTCCCTCTATGGTAAAGGCTGAGTTAACAGTTCTCAGTATGCTTTTAATAAATGTAATTCTTGGAATTTTCAAAAGGAGGTGTATAAGCATAACAGAAAATTGTACCTCGGAGCATGTATTATATAGCTGCATGTATATAAACAGAAAATGATTAGTTTTGGAATACTTAAAAATGATCTCAAGATTTTAGTAATATAGCAGGGATTTGTAGTATTCACTAAACAGTGATTGATAAAGCTGTCTTAATATTTTATCAAAATTAAAATTCTTAGCACTTTTGCAGCGTGGACAATCTATGAACTTGAACACTTCACAAGCAATTAAGCAATATAGCATCCTGTGGGTAAAGGAATATTATTCTATTTTATAAATGAGAAAGATTAGATGGATTGATTAAGAAGAAATCCTGTGAGAAAATAACTGGGTTTATTTCTATTATCTTGATCAGTTTAATAGACAAATGAGGGAAGGTTGTTACAGAAATACTGCATGAAGAAAGAAAGATAAAGCAATATGTTAAAGGTCATATTTGAAATGCTTAACAAAATTGGGACAGAAAGACAAAACATAGGGTATTTGCTTTTTCCCTGAGACTGTAGGTAATATGTAGGCTTAATTCAGGAACGTACTTCAGAAAACACTTCACATTCAGCACATAAAAGGTTTGTGTGGTGACAATAAAGCTAAGCAGGTGGGTAAGTATTAAGTAAGCTGCAACATTTAAAAAAGTAGAACCCCAGTCCTAAAATTTATGTCTACTACTGTAAAGAAAAAAATAACAGAGACGAAGAAGGGAGAAGAAGTTCTGTTCAAACCTGAAGACCTTCTCACATCTATGAAGACCAAAGTCAGCAGTCACTAATATGTTCCTCCAAATGCATATTTTATGTGTTTACGCATACTTTATGGTAAAACCAATGCCTAATATGTTGCATAGTGTAGCCCACAGACAAGGATATGGGATGTGATAAAAACATTAAAGATCCACTTCTCGACTGCAATACACCCTGTGCAGTAAGCTACCCTGATGTCAACTGGGTGTAAAATTAAACTCTTCTAACGCTTTACGGATCGTATGCACTATGGTAAGTAAGCCAATGTGTGTGAGATGGAGGGCAATGCCAAAGGGAACGGGGCACAGCTTGCTTTTCCCTGGTGCCCTTCTCCTCCTTCCCTCTAACACTGGCTGCAATTCATTTCTTCCTTTGAGTCTTGCACCACCATAGATCCTTGCAACCAAGTCATAATTTAAGGCCTTAGATAAATAAGCAAAACAGCTTTTTCTATGCAATGTTCATACTTCTTTAGTACAGGTTTTTTCAGCGGTAGGAAATAATCCACAGATGAGTCCTTCTTCCAATTACTGTGTAAAACTTGTAGAGCACAACCAGTGTTTTATTTATGATCAGTGGGAGAATACGTAGTTAATGCATATGACTAAAGAAGGAAAAAAAATCTTTATTCTGAATAAAGAAAGTCCTGATGTTCGTGTTGCGAAAAAAAAAAAAAGAGCTCAACCAAGGATAATGGGAGAAGGGAAAAGCCACATGACAATGATGTGGGTGTCTCTGCTACATTTAAGTCCTTCTGTAAACGTACTTCTACTCAGTCGCCCACTATTCCAAGAATTTGCCACAGCAACAATATTTCCTTTCCTTTCAGTTTTTAGAGTTTCCATAAATGCCTTCAATTCTATTTCTTTTACTTTTTGCTCTAAAGTTTTACTGTGAATTTCACAGAGCACCCCTAGTCAGGAATAATAATTATGTTATTGAGTATTTACATGGATACCAAAGATGAATCTTCAATAGCATCATTTAAAAGCACTTACATGCTGCAAATTGTATGAATATTTTGTTTCTACTGTTGACTGATATAATATCTTCCACATAAATGCATTCCAGCGATTTTTTTTTTTTTCCCATCTGAAAGAGTCAACATATTTTCTCTCATCTTCTTTCTCCGTCTCTGAGCCAAAACTCTGAGAAGGTTCATTCCACAGATAACTTGGTCAAATCTATTACCAGCAAAACCGGGCACTACTTCATACTCTTCAGTGGAGCTACAACCAATCATGAATTGTCCTATTGAACCTGGAGCAAAAGTACACTTATTTCCCCAAACAATAATGAATTTCATGGCTTCATATTACAGAGAGAGTAGAGTCAGTTCAAAAATATGATCATAACTTACTTAAAAGGGATCTCGCGTTACTAATAACTTAATGAAAATCTGTATTTTGTGTTTCCTTACATTTATATGATGCATGGTCATGCATATAAGGTATTGCCTTCATATCAGCGTAGATTTTTTTCACATTCGTTGAGAGGAATGCCATTTGCAAACATTTAGCCTCAGACTAGAGAGATATTGACTGAGCCACATTAATTCAAAACTAAGAAAAATTACAAAAATCATATAAGTAAAAGCAAGTGACCTTCTCAAAGGTGCCTATTACTTCAGTCAGTCTCCTAAGATTCAGGAAGAACCTTAGGATTGAGGGGGAAAAAAATTCCAGAGTTTTTTATGGTCAGCCACCTACTAACCAATGGTTTTGAAGTGAGATCCTCACAGAATTATATCTCTGTTTCAGTCTTTTTCCTGGGAGCTGCACATTGAACAAACTCTCTTCGCTCATATTCTATTTTTACCTATGTCCTCCTGATTGCTATTGACATGGATTGGAACAAAATCTTCACTTCTGTAGGTATTTCATAATAACTGCTTTTTTTAGGAAATGTAGGCTTATTTCAACACGCAGAATGTTTGCCTTTTGGTTCCATATATCTGCTCTGCACTTTTTTGAATAATACTATTTCAATCCCATCAAAGTTCTCCCTCTTTATTCCTACTTTTTCTATACTCGTGTATTCCTATCTGGCCACTATTTAATGTATGGAATAGCTGAACACTGAGGTACCAGTGAGGGTGAAGCAACGGTGAATGATATCTTCTGCAGCGTGAATTTACTGGTAACAGTTTGGAAAATGAATGGGTGGTTCTGTATATACAGTGGCTCTTCCTACTTCGTAGAGTTAATGGCTCTGTGCATATGGAACAGCAGTGATGAACCAGGATCCATGAATGCTTTCTTTGTGCAAACCATAAATCTGTTATATAAGCTCCTACAGACAGTAGTTAAGATAAAATATTCTTTTAAGAGGTGAAACTTGTCTGTCTTCCCCACCCCCCAATTTTAGTACTACAAAAAACTTGTAAGGATTATGATGTAGATTTGAGATCACTGAGTGATTACTGCCACCTAGTTAATTCTATATGCCATGAGTTATATATAATGAGTAGAAACGAAGGGCCTCAGCTTATGTATCTGAAAGGAAATAAGCAAAAATAGTTACGTAATCAAGTCTGACTTCTATTAAGGAAAACTCGCTTTCTGACATACATTTGTTTGGTATTTTTCTAGTCTGCTTTTAAAGGCACTAGAAGGCATATTGCTAACCCTTTCTTTGGATTGTTATTCCTCCAATTAACAGCTCCTCCTATCTGAGACATCCTCACTGAGCTTTCCCTTTCAATTGCAAGAAAATGCTACGCAACTTTAAAGTGCATTCGTGCGCGTTTTGCCTGCATCTTACACGTACTGTCACTGTACTCATGAACAAGAAAAAGAAAACAGCCTTCCATTACATATTGTAAATAAGTATTGCAATACCCACTTAACAATGGAAATTATTAGCCGTTACTAAAGATTTAATACAAGGATATACCATGATAACAATATAAGCCTGCCTTTGGCATGATACTCTTAATTAGAACTAAAGTAAGACATTTTATCACTGGAATTAATGTCCCACCAGTCATAATTTTCTTTCCAGCACTCATGTGCTTCTCTCTAACCCCACTTTTTACCAGCTCCACTGTACACCTCTCCCCGAGAAGCTGCAGATGCAAGAGGAGAGAGACTTGAATGTATTTGCCCCCTTTTTGCCTCTCTCAAATTTGTCTCATGTCAGTAAAGTGAATTTCCATGGAAAACTGAGCAGTCAGTGTACTCACTCAGCTTCTTCTCATGCAGCAATATAACCCAAAACAGTTACTGGGAACCAAGTACTATTTAGCCAAGTCCCTAAACTTCTGAAGAGGCAAGTATTTTGTACTCAGTATACTCTGAGTTCAAAGTGTAATCCGGAAGGAACATCCTCTTTCTTCCCACAATCTAGCTCCATTGGAACAATGCCTGTTTTATCCCATTAAAAATAAATAAATTATGCACACTATCTGCATTGCTCCCAAATCTTTTAATTGAGCCAAAAATTGCTTGCCTACAATCCGTTTTACCTTGTCCATCCAGGAGGGGTGGAAAAGTACTCAGAAGGACTGATGAGAAGTCTGTATGCTAATCGCCTTTCTGACTGGAGAAAAATGTAGCAAAAACTGATTATAAAGGAGGACAATGAAAAATTAGTTGCTTTGTCTAAATGCTTCCAGTTGTTGATAAATGCTCACTGTTTAGTCTCACCAATTTTTTCATGCTGCAGCTGCAGAGACAGCGTTCCTTGGGCCTAGCTATGACTGACGATCTGACTGCATGCCAGATAATCACCAATCCCTGCTCTGCTGTCTGCTTCAGTTATTTTTTAAGAGCATTTTTTTTCTCCTTTTCTTGAACCTGATGATCTCACACCGGAAATTCAGCTTTTCTCCCAGAGAAGAGGGTCTTTTGTGACGGCAACAGAGCACTCTTACAATGAGCTGGGAGTTTTCCTTACTTAGGCAAGAAAAAAAAATAAGGCCAAGAATTGACAGAGTTCCAGCAGTGCTTAAACTCTAGCAGCACAAAAAAGCTATTTAAGGAGCAACAAAAACCTAAAGACACATTTACTCTGAGGTAATGGTGACATAATTTTTTGGAGAATAATTCCCAGTTATTTTAACCTATTTTTTTCTGACTGCATTCAGGACCAAAATGTGAATAGGATATAGATGTAAACTTTACGTGGAGACAGTGTGTCTCACAAATCAGTGCAGAAATGTTCAGCACAGAAATGGCTCTTTACCTTGACAATAAAGGCTAGTTTGATAGTTTATTTTCTTTATTCCTACAATGACTCCATTGAAAAACCTTCATCATTTTTATTCTGCTTCAATGCCTTACAGTTTCTATCCCTTATAAAGGAAATAAAGCTACTGAAGGCAGTTTGGAGACTCTGAATGAGATCTTGTTTTGAAGTTTCATAATGATTTCATGAATTTATTTTGTACTGCAAATTACAGTCTCTTGATTGCTAACATGAGACTTTTAGGTTTTTATTAGCATGTCTGTGGCCAAGCGTCTAGTTAAATTTACTTTAGCCTTGATTCAGGCTTCAGCAGTGCCCTTCCTTTACAAGTAAAAGATCCCTTTGTGATCAGAATATCTTTACCCTGCTCATCTAATTTCTCTGCTCCCATTCTTCATTTCCCTGTTTACTGCTTCATGTCCTCCTGTAGGTGACAGCCACAGACATTCCTGGAGAACAGCTAATACCTATTTCCTTTCCCTTACAATGTTATAAGAGAGCAAATTGTCTTTTAGCTATTTATTCTGCCCTTTAGGAAGTCTTTTTTAAGGCAGTTCCTTGAAACTGAATATTCCACACAGTGGTGGAAACGGTCCAGTGTGCCCAGCACGCCACTTTCTGTGCTAGCATCTGCTCCAAAGAGTACATGACCCTTTTCACAGATGGCACAGATACCATAGGGAAGAGATAAGCCAAGGCTCCTAAAACACCGTATTAGGATTTCTGAAATCCCATTTTGCCCAGCACCCTGTTATATTGACCTCAGATTATCTTGCGCAGGAATGAAGCAATGAGAATGAGGCTGGGATTCATCTCAAGTAGCTTTACCTTTCCAAAGGTATTTGTATCATCATATTCAGCTATATATGTGTCTTCTACAGTCTACAGAACAGAGGTGTTCACATCAGGAGGCCCATTCACCCACTTTAAACACTTATTTTCAAGAGGAGTGAACTGTCCCCTGATAGTGCCTCTATTTCTAGGGAATATAGAAGGATCCAAAATGACTCATGATAGATGGACACACGGACAGGGAAAGTCAGAAGAGAACTTACAAATCCTTACAAGCATCTGCATGTGGCCAGTTATCACAGAACGAATGAGGCAGGTTAATCTGTTCTGGTGGGAGAGGCAGCTCCTCTGGCCCATTTGCTGTGTGGTCTGCACAGACCCCAGCCAGCAACTGCTCTGCTGGCTGAGGACACAAGGATGACAGGAGGCTTGGGGAGTTGGGGGCAGAGCATTGCTCCTGGGTTTGTTGAAGTGCAGTATGAGTATAAAAAAAAGCCAGTGGCACAGAGCTTAAGTTGGGATCCAGCTCTTAATTCACTCTTTAAAACTTTCCATTGCAGAGGCTGACCAGCTCTGTTCTTAAATGGCGAATGCATTTAAGTTATGAAGAACAGTTTGTCGAGAATGAAACCCTCCTATACAGATTCAGAATCAGCTCCTGATCATATAGGTTAGATTCTAGCCCTTATAATTGGTCTCTCCTGAGTCTCCCTGCTTTGCTGTCACCACTGGAGAGATATAGAGTTTATGAACAGAAATGCCTTTCTTCCTCACTGCTTCTTTTCCTTCCTTTGGCCTGAAAAATAAAACAACTACTGCACAGAGAAACATGTGTGTTGCACTTTCAAAATATCAAAAGAAGTGTCATAGTTTTTCAGACAGCGTAATACTTAAGAAAGATACCCACCATAATTGGCAACATCTCTGTCTTGTTTAAGGGAACACAATGACTCCAGACATTCTCAGTACCGGCAGACTCTGCACTGAATTGTAGCAATCAGAAAGGTATACTGGGTCGATCATTGTGCCCTTTCATCTAATACAATATGGTTTCCTCTGACATGTTCTTCAGTGCTTCATCTAGCCTAGTGATGCCATTTTTCTTGGTAGAATATTTCATTGTCACATAGGTCTACTGCTAGTAAATATGACTTTGTATTCAGTCCCAATATTCCTGTATTTTGTCAGATCCCATTTTTCCCAAAAGCAACTAAACTTCATGAGACCACCTCCATTAAATGGAAAGAGAGAAAGAGAGAAAGAGAGAAATTGAGAAAGAGAGAAATTAAAAACACTTCAGGAAATCATCAGCATTTTATGTATTTTCTAGAACCTGAGATAGAGAAGCCTTGGTTTGGCAAATTCAGTCTGCAACTGTCGTGAAATGTTCTTGTAAAGGCTAGGCTTAAATCAGTCAACCAGTCAAATATCATCCTCTCATTATTTCAGCACATTTGGTGCTAAGATAAATTCTAGATATTTAGAAAAGAATGAAAATGAAAGAAGAGAGGAAAATGTTTGGTCCATATTTTAGGCAAAGGTTCGTATTTGTTTTTAAATAATAAACAGAAAACTGAGCTGAAAAACTGTTCTTTTCTTTCTCAGTTATTTATGTTCATGATACAGTTCAGTCATTGTCTCTACAAAATAAAGTTATTTAGTTCTTTCATAGTTTTCTCAGAAATCACTAGTTAATTAGACTTTAATGTTCTGTAGAATATAACAGCTGTATTAGAGTCACCCCCGATATTTGTTTACAAAAGCAAAATCACATTGTTCTCCCACTGCATGACTAGGATGAAACCAAACTCTTCCACGAGAAGAGTAATCACCACAAATTTGTCATTCACATTTGTAAAATCAAACTAAGAAATAAATTGTGAAAATGCCAAACTAAAGCCAGATCTGCCCTTTCCTAATCCATTTTCTGCAATGTTTTCTTAAAGGAATCATATTTAGGGGATTGTGCTGCCTGGACAGACATCTGTCTAACTCTTTATAATGACTTTTGAACCCACTGGGCAATTTCAGTCAAGTTTGGCAGAGGGATACAGGTCACAAAGTCACACTTCTACAAGTTTTGCAAAAAACTACTAGCTAGGTATAGGAAAGACATTTAAGTTACAGGTCCCGCTTAGGAAAAGTTCAAGAAAACTTGCCCATTACACAGACTTTTTTACAGCAGCCTTGCTGGCCAATCAGCAAATGCATAATTTTAGACAAGCCTAGAGGGAAGAGGAAGAAGAAAGGATGTTATAGGAGGCATAAAGGCATATGAGCTATTTCAATGCCAGTACCAAAAATTCAAAGTACACAAACCAGTAGGAAACCACACTTTAAGTCTACTGTTTACAGAACAACTTGTTTCTCTCTAAATCTGCCAGTCATTTAATGTTTTGTTACTGCAGTCGCTTTTCTACTTCATTTGTTGGTGCATTTGGCTAATAAATCGATGACAGCTGAACATCAAAGTTTAAGATCCTACTTGATAAATACCTAAAAGTTCTGGGAAGGTGATTGCTAATCTAATCAGCTGAGAACTGTCCGTGGCACAATCTTATTTGTGTCATTTCAGCACTTCCAATAGCACAGAATCAAGATGCCAACATTAAGCAAGGTAAAAGTGTTTTTTACTTTTAGGAAGAGTAGTAAAACTTAAAAAGTAGGAAAATTTTTTTTAGGAAAAAATTAGTCAAAATGCATGCTGAGGCAAATACATACCTAAGTAAAATTTTGCTAACAGTGATCCTGCAAATACTAACCTAACTTTCATTCTAAGAGGTTTTTTTTGGTATTATTTTTATGAGAGACAATATGAACAAAGAGGCTGCGAGCCACAAGACTGGCTGTCTTATTCTTGGTTTGTGTCACTGATTTGTTTTGTAATCCTTAATAAGTCATTTTACCTTTGTCTCCCATTCTAGTCTTTGTCAATCTTGTTGCTTATGAAAGCTGCTAATAAAAGAAACAGTCTGCTGCTAGACATTTGGACAAAATATGCCTGAAAGAATAAGGCTTTTGGCTCTATTGTAATACTTTTAAGGATAATTTGTTATTATTACAGAGCTCATGTAATTACTGTAATAAATACTTTTACAGCTTTGTTCTCTTTGCTACATTGGTAGCGTACCTATAGGTATTTGTAAGACTGTCCTAAGCTCAAAAGTTCCTTCTGAAGCAAAATTATCATTGACGACTCCTATTTTGTAAATCACTGAAAAGCGCTGACAGAGCTCAGTGTCTTTTTATGCAGACAAAAGTCCCTCTTATTTATGGTCTAATCCACCTCCTGCTGTGGTAAATTTATTGTAGTGAGCGACAACCTGCTCACAGGAGGTTTTCCTGACAAAGTTATTCAGGATTGAAAGCTGCATGATTATACATATACAGGAATCTAAGAAACTTAAAAAAATCATGGAAATCATGAAAGCACATAGATACCGATTCTCAGCTGGTGTAAGTAACTATCTGTAAGTCTCAACATCACTCACTGTGAAAAGTTATAAAAACTCAGAATTTATCCCATTCGGTTGTCCTGAATCCCTTACTGTTGAAGTCTCA